AAATTTTACGCCTGCTCCAAACTGCATATTCGCCCTCAGATTCAGTAAGGAAATCACTCCCTTCTTCTTCATTGTCATCGATATATTCATGATTTTCAAATCGTTTATTTCTCTCAATGACATTTTCTTTGATTACGCTTTTATCGGCACTATTGCTAAATGATTGTTGATTTCTTTTGTTATCGTTTTCTATCAACATTTTATTATCGAATTTATTTGATTCTTTATTCAGATGTTTTTCATAATCTAGGATGCTATTCGCAACCTCTTTTTCAGAACTTCGATTAATTTGAAGTTCATTTCTTTTCACGTATTTATCGATCGTGATTCGTTCATTATTATTATCGATTTCTTTCCGATCCCTGATATTTTGGTTTTTATTTAAGGATCGAGTATTCCTTCTGAATTCGTTAGAATCGGTTTGAAAGCTATCCGAATGATCTTCACCGATTTCATTGTTGTTCCCATTTTGCTTACCGATTTCTGTTGACGATTCCCGATATATTCTGCTCACATATATTTCATCGATTTTATTGTTATTCTCATTTTGTTTGTTGGTTTCATTTGCTGATTTCCGATTTCGTATATTTTCGTTTTTATTTAATGATCGAGGATTCCGTTCGTTTTCGTTAGTATCGTCTCTAAATGAATTAGAATTATACTTATCGATTTCTTTGAGGTCTATAAATTTTTTATCGGTTTCATTTGACAATTTCCGATTCTCTCGAATTTTGATTTTATTTTTCGCATCAATTTCTTCCCTATATTTTATTTCTCCTTTATTGTCTTCTTCAATTTGATTTTCCTGATTTTTTAAGGGTCTTATATTCCTCGATTCTTCTCGGCCTCCTCCAACATTAGTCTCTTCTTCTCCTTTTCGGTTGCCTTCATAATTTAAGGATCTCCAAGTCCTCTCTAACGATAGATCGGAATTATTCTTATCGATTTCTCTGAGTTCCATATTTGTCTTATCGGTTTCATTTGGCGATTTCCGATTCTCTCTAATTTTGCTTTTATTTTTCGCATCACTTTCTTCCCTATATTTTAATTCTTTTTTATATTCTTCCTTAATTTCATCTTCCTGATTTTTTAAGGGGCTTATATTCTTTGATTCTTCTTCTCGCCCTGCATTAGTCTCTTCATCTTCTTTTTGGTTGCCTTCATAATTTAAGGATCTCCATTTCCTCTCCGGCGATAGATCGATTCTTGATTCTTTTCCTCGTTCTGCATTACCCTCTTCTTCATTTTGGATGTTTTCATAATTTGAGGATCTCCAACGATCTGAAGACAGACCCAATTCTCCTCCATTAATCTCAACCTCACTTTCATATTTTTCCTTCCTCAATGATCTTCGATTCCTTTCCAAATTATTAAATTCCAGATGATGATTTAGGGTCACCCCTCCTCCTCCTCCACTACTACTGGCGGCAGTGGCTGTTATAGGAGCGGTGCTAAAAATACTATTACCAAAATTTGGTTTCTCCAGCTGGGTTGGCAATTTGTAAATGTCACCATAAGGTCTTCGCGTGGTGGTTGTTCTTTTTCCCATAACAATGGGAGGTCCTCCCCCTGGAGCCAAAAGACCCTGCCGTGGCTTAACTGTGGTAGTACTAGTCACTCTATGACCCGGTGGCTTGGATTTTTTATTTTTACGTTTATTTTTCAATTTTTGTCTCTGACTCAGGGGTCTGGGTGTGGTGCTGCTCAGTTTATCCTTTACCGTTATTTCGGTTCGCACAATAACGGGGGCAGGTTTTTTGAGCGGAGTTATTAATTTCGAATTGGGAGGTGGCGCCGCGGAGGAGGTATTTGTCTTGGTATTTAATCTGATGATTTGTGGTCTCATGGTAGTACTTGAAGTGGTGCTGGTTTTTTGAGGCCTCGAAAATGAAGAGGGTATTTCATATTTGGATTTTATATTTGTTTTATTTTTATCGGGAGCGGGGAGTTTACACTGTTGCTCATATTCCTGTTTCAGCTGAAAAATGTCCCTTTCATATTGTTCTTTGGTTATAAAGATCGGTATACTTCCATTTGTCCGGGGTATGGTATTATTTTGTGATTTACCCATTTCGGTAATGGCATAAACTATGCCAGTCGAAGGATTTGTAAAATAGATGGGAAAATGGGCTCGAGTATTATTCTGATAGAGATTGTTGAGGGAATATTTTTCCAATTCATTCGGGTGTATGGGTTTTAAATTGATCTCTGGGAAGTTGGCGGGTTTTGTGGGATATGGAGCCAAAGCATCATTATCGTTCATATCCACCTCACCTTCATAGATTTGATTGCCGGTCTCATCGTCATCAACATAATTGAAATTCAAATTTGAGGTCAAGTGATAACGATTATTTGTGGAGGATCCTTGTAGGTCCTGGCTGAAGATGGGAGGCCTTGGCCGTTTGGTGGTGGTTGTTGGAGTTTTTGTGGGTTTTTGATTTAAATATTTATTTATATCAGCCTCATCGTTTTTATTGTCATCGGCATAATGGAAATTTAAATTTGAGTTTAAATTATAACGATTATTGTTGGAGGATGCTTGCAAGCCCTGGCTATATATCGAAGGTTTGGAATTTTCCAAATTATTGTAAAATTTATTTAACCCAGTCTCATGTTTATTATCCTTGTTATGGATATTCAAATTCGATGCCAAATCATAACGATTATTGTTGGAGGATGCTTGCAAGTCCTGACTGTACATCGAAGGTTTGGTCTGGGATCCGGAATTTTCCAAATTATTGTAAAATTTATTTAATCCAGCCTCATGTTTATTATCCTTGTTATGGATATTTAAATCCGATGCCAAATCATAGCGATTATTATTGGTGGCATCCTTCAAATCCTGACTAAATATTGGAGGAGAATTTGTTGTTGTTGTTTTTGTTGTATGTTGTTCTACGTTATTAAAATATTTTTGTAAATGACTTTCATATTGATATTTTGGCACAAAGGTATTGACTGAATTCTCTTGCTGTGGACGATATAATTCCCTTTCCGGTTGCCTTTTTAAGATGTCATGCGTCCATGTTCGATGTGTTTCTCGCAGAAGATTATCAAATTCTTCGGCACTCGGATGATAACCATATTCGTAATTATTGGCCGTGGCCTCGACTACCACATTTAGACCGGATATACTGGCCAATAGCCACTTCAACATTAACACCTTAATGACAATGAAAAACCAACACATTTTTCAAACCGCACTTTTTACACACTTTTTCGATATTTTCTATTTTTGCTCTTTTATTACGATTCAGCGATTTTTTATTTCTTGTTTGGTTTTAAGAGGACATCAAGATTTTTTATCTTTTTTATTCAAATATTTTTTTTTTCGAATACCACTTCAAATTCTTATCTTATTTCCTAATTTTTCCTTTTTTAATTGGGCGCCAATATTTTGTTGTTTTTTTTTCTTTGTTAGTTTCACCAGGAAGTAAACCAATATATATTTTTAATTGCGAATTTATTTTTTCGAATACTTTTTCTGTCCTTGTATTACCCGGAAGGTATACAGGATTTTTATCTTTTTTTAATTGTGAATATATTTTTCTCGTGTACTTTTTTAATTTTTTTTGTTTGTCTATTTTTAATTTGTTAATATTTGTTTTTGTAGATTTTCTTGAATTTTTTGATTATGTTTTAAATTGCTAATACACTTTTCATACACTTTTTCAATCCTTCTCATATTTTTCGCCTTTTTCTTTCTCCTTGTCAATATTTTTCATTCAATAATTCTTTTTTGATATTTTTATAAATAAATATGTTTTGGAATACCTTTTTATACTATTTATTATTTCTCGTTTTTTATTTATTTTTTCCACATTCTTATTTTTATTTAGACAACAAGAATTTTCTTTTCACTGCATTCCCTCTTATTTTGTTTTTTCTGCCTTTTTCATTTCTTTCTTTATTAATTTTTTCACTTAGTTTTAGGACTTCATCTTAGTTTTTTAATATAAAATATTTTTTGAACACATTTTTGTAAATATTTTTCTTTCAAAATTGTAATTTATTTGTGTAGCAAGATTTGTATTTTTTATAAATATTTTTTGGAACTCCTTTTTTAATCCTTTTCTTATTATGTTTCTTTATTTATTTTTCCTTCTTAGTTCCATTAAGACTGCTGGAATGTCCTTTTTAATTTTTTTCGAACACCTTTTTAATCCATTTTCTAATATTTTATTTATTATTCCTATAGATTTATTTTTTCATTTGGGCGCCAATATTTTTTAAATTGTTTTCAAATTTTATTTTTTTTAGATTTATTAGGACAGCACGATTTTTCTTTTTTTTAAATATTTTAACTGCAAATATTTTTTTTAATTTTTTCACTTTGCAAATCTTATTTCAAACGCCTTTTCAAATTTCTAGTCCTCTTTTTCTTCTTCTAGTCCTTTTCATTTGGGCGCCACTTTTTTATATTTTATTTTTTTATTTCTAAATTTTATAAGGACACCAATAATGTTCTTATTGGATTTTTTTCTAATTGCAAACAATGTGTTTATATTTTCTGATCCTATTTTTAATTTTGTTCATTTGGGCGCCATTTTATTATTTTCGTTTCAATTTTTTGGTATTACTAGTTTTTTTTTTTTTTTTAATTAGCACTCCAAGATTTTTCTTCTTATTATTATTTTGTTTTAAATATTTTATTTTCTGGTCTTTTTCAGTTGGGCGCCACTTGTTTATTTTTTAATTTCCTTTAATTCTAAATTTTTTTAGGACACCAACAATTTTCTTATTGGATTTTTTTCGCTAGTTGCAACAATTTTCAAACTCCTTTTCAATCCATGATATTAAAAAAATATTATTTTCTAGTCCTTTTTTAAATTTTTCATTCGGGCGCCACTTTTTTTCGAAGTTTTGATAGTTCCTTTTTTTATTAGTTCTCCAAGATTTTTGTTCCTCTTGTTATATTTTTAATTTTTATTTTCTATTTTTTTTATTTCTCAGTTTTATTAGAACAGCAATATATTCTGATTTTTATTAGCAATATTTTTTTTTCTTATTATTTTCTTCAATTTAATTTTCTAGTCTTTTTCTGTATTTTCATTCGGGCGCCACTTTCTTAATTTTTAATATTTCGTAGTTGATTTAACACTACAAGATTTTTCTTCTCCTTCTTTTTAATTTAAAATATTTTTTCCAACAGTGATTTTAGTCAATCACGACCACGGTAAATTTCAGCACGAACGAAATTGCAAATTCGCTTCGAATTGTTTACTCCTTTTCTATTTTCTTTAATTATTTCTCTTTCTTAGTTCAAATTGGGCGCCATTTTTTTCCTTTCTTATTGTTATTAGAACACCACGAATTTTATTTTTTGGCTAAAAGTAATTTATTCGAACTCCTGTTTAAATACTTTCCTTGTTTTTTACATTGTTTTGTTTTCGTTTTTCATTCGGGCGCCACTTTTTTATTTTTTATTGGAGTTATCCCTTTAATTTATTAAATGGTAAATATTTTTTGAACACCTTGATTAATCCTGGTTCTTATAATTCATATATTTTTTTTATTTTTTATTTGGGCGCCATTTCTTTATATTTTATTTTCTATTTTTAATAGAATGACAAGATTTGTCTTCTTATAATTATTTTTAATTTAAAATATTTTTCGACCGCCTTCTTAGTGCTTTCCTTGTATTTCTCTATTTAATTTATTTCTTCATTGTTTCATTCGGGCGCCACTTTTCTATTTATTTTATTTCTCAGCTTTATAAGGACATCACAATTTGTCTTATTCTTATTATTTTTTTAATTTAAACTATTTTCCTTCAATTCCCTTTTTAATCCTTTACGAACCGACAGATCTCAAACAATAGGAATAATTTTCAAATATCGCTTCGAATACAAACAACCGTTGCGTTTAACAGTTTCAACACAAATGATTTAATAGATTTGAAGTGAAATTTTCATATCTCTTGGAACGTTTAAACGGTGGTTTTCTTGCATGCCCAACTGGCGTTACATTTGCTGGTGTTGTTGTTGTTGATGTTGTTTTTGTTGGTTTAACATTACATTTGGACCACCACATTCTACACTGGGTCAGATGGCAAAAAGAAGTCAACACAGAGGGTTATAATTCATTCATAAAAAAACACCTAACAAATGACTCCACCTCTGGGTTCTTCTTCAAGTACGGTACGGTACTTTAATGGTTCACTGAGAATATGTCACAAATGTCACAGTTGACGACATATGTACGTATGCCAACCATTTGAAACATTGTTTTGTTTTGGTGCTTTCATTCACTATCACAAATATCAATCGAAGCGTGGCCCAAGCTATCAGAATTAATCAGAAAGCTATACATTATCTACCGTTTGATCGAAGAAGAAAAACGTATTGAGAGAGAGCTAGGGTTCAACCCCTTTTATTTTCTTTTCATTTTTTTTATCTTGCCTTTAAACAAACTTTTACTTTTTTCACCACATTTTCTTTCACAAAACAACAAATTTCCTTCGCGCTCTAAATATTTAAATTTGTTAATAATTTTTTCTTCTTCTTCTAATAGTGATCTATATTTTTCTAAACTTAATTTTTTCCACTGCTGTTCTTTTTCCTTCTAGTAGTTTCCCCGTTTTCAAGTTTGCGCGTTGTATTCACTTCCAGCTTCACTGACTTACTGACCATATTTCCATTTGGCCACAAAGCTGCTGGACTAACTCTCAATTATCAACAACTAACCGTTATTGCTCATCATCATTATCGTCATCTTCGGGATGTTTGTTGCATGCAACATGCTTCTGCGGAGTGCATTTCAAGTTTCTGCATATGTTGCAGAAGCGGTTAGCTAAGTGGAAAGTAAGGCTTTTTTTCAAGAACAGGAATTTACTCTTTTGTTTGTTTGGCCAGTTTGTTTTGTTTGTTTAATTATTGCAGGTGGTTAATCTTGTTCTTGTTGGTTATAAAATTAGATGCTTGTTTCCCATAGAAGATGCATTGAAGTGGGTATTATAAATTCAAAGAATTTCAATATAAACTAAAGCTTTATCACAGAAAAAATATTTTAAAATATCGGGAAGTCCGACGGAGCAACACTTTTTATTCCACCCACGTTTTCAGATTTCAAAACATCTAAAATCGATAGGAATTTTATGCGGATGCTATGTCCGCAACAATATCTACCAGGGCGTATTTTTCATTGTCGCTGAAATTATAGTTTGGAAAATTCGTGTTGGAACTTCAATGTTTCGACTACTACCTTCATCTGTGGGATATGCCAAAACATAGACCTATATTAAACACTTCGCCTTAATATATTTTATTATCAGCATCGTCATTGCCATCATCATTAGCAATCCAAATTTGATTCGATTATCCTTGTATGCCCATTGCTGAATGTGGGAAATCACACCTTGTACTTACTTACTTAGCTGGCTTGTTTACAGAACGGTTGTTCCATAAGCCGAGCTTAAAAAAGATTTCCAAGCGCGTCGGTCTTGTGCGCAAGTCCACCAATTTGGAAGACCTCATATGCTTGCGCAAGTACCCATGCTTCTGATCCATATAAAAGCACGGGTAGTATCAACGTCTTGTAAAGTGTGAGTTTGGTCTGGCGGGAGGTGGCCTTGTTTCTAAACTGCTTACTTAGACCATAGTAGCATCTGTTGGCCATCACAATCCTTCTCCGAATTTCAAAAGTGATGTCATTCGTTTTATTTATAGCGGTACCAAGGTATATAAAGTCTTTAACTACCTCGAAGCTGTAGTTCTGAAGTTCCACAGTTGGTCCAAGTCTACTGGACGTCTTGCGCGTTGATACCATTAGCTTGGTCTTCTCACCGTTTACTGCCAGACCCACTTTGGCAGACTCCTTTTCAATTTGTTCAAAGGTGGCTGTTACCGCTCGCAATATTCGACCCATTATATCGATGTCATCGGCGTAGGCGAGTAATATGTGTTGTTTGGTGTACAGAGTGCCATTTCTGTTCACCTTTGCGTCTCGTATGACTTTTCCAGTAGGATGTTAAAAAGATCACACGACAAACTGTCACCTTGTCTGAATCCTCGTTCGGTATTGAGGGGCTCCGATAGGTCCTTTCCTACTTTAACTGCCGACCTTGTGCCACTTAAAGTTATCCTGCATAGCCGTATTAATTTTGCAGGAATGCCGAACGCAGACATGGCTTTAAACACCTCTGAACGGATAGGGCTGTCGAATGCGGCTTTATAGTCGACAAATAGGTGG